TCATTAACACAACAGGTACGACTCATAGCACGCCAGTAGCTTAAAATACTAAACTTCTGTTGACATCAAAGCCAAATGATTTTTAAAAAGGGATACAGAAGACACCCAAGAGGGAATTTTTCAGAAATTCATGCAACAGGTCTTCAGGAACAACGGGCAATTGGAAACACAGCATAAAAATGTATATTTGGAAATCCAAAATAGGAGGTGTAGAGGTTGACCTGGTGGGACAATCAGACCAGGAGAAAACTTTGATAACTTCTTGATCTGAGTAAGAGGGATGAGGTAACAGCAGGCTTTGGCAGTGATGTGCAAGCAAGGAGAGCAGCTTTACATCTAATGCAACAGAGATGGCAGAGCCAGGGCAGCAACACAAAGCAAGAAGCAACAAGTCAAAGCAAGACACCAATAAACAACCTACTCTGCAATTTTTGAATGGCCAGGAAATGCAAAGTTTCTAGCTGTCAAGGACCAAAAAAGAGATGATACCATAATTCAGACCAATATGATGAGGCTGGATTAGACTGTAAGTTGCATGACCAGGTAGGAAAACAGTGAGAGATGCTGTAGATGAACAAAGATTGGGACAGAGCCAACACAGGAAGTTTTAAGGACAACAAACAGGACAGCAGAAGCACAAAGGAAACTGTGAGGGGCACAGAGCTGGGAATGCTCAGTTGTCTTGAGGCTGAAGCAACAGCCCTTTATGCATGAGGTGTCAGAGATGCAGACTAAGCGTCTTGGCAAAAGGCTGCTTCTATTCTCACCATCATGCAAAAGGCACATCAGAAACACAAGCCTCCCTTAACGTGACTGGTAGTGCAAGTAAATCCCAACCATTCTTATGCATGCAATTGTTATGGAGGAGACAGGTGGGATCTCTGGAAGAAGTTAAACTATCCATCTGTGAAACAATGGTTACATGGAACAGAAACACACAGATGAGCAAAGCACATAAAAACCCTACTTTGAACATCTACCAACGTGCTCTAACTCACTCACGCTTTCCATATTGTCACTTGAAATACTTGAAACCCCCCAAGGTTCAGCAGGAGGAAGTAAAAGGGCATTCAGCTTTAGAATGCAGTAAACCAGCCTTTTTTTTTTTTTCCCCAGAAGACACTTCTATAGGATTGTCACACAAGTAATAATGAATCTCAACAAGTGGCATGGGTGCAGCATGCCAGAACACTTCTAAGAAGGAGGCAAAACTTAAGAGAACCACTCCATTGATTCTGTTTTCCATAAGGCTTCATTCTATTTTGATAGACACATACCCATGAATGTCCTCGTGGGCATTTTAAAAGCTGCAATTTCAACTCTGAGGTTTGCAAGCTTTGTTTTGTGTGGTGTATGATATCATAAACATCCTGAATATAATTACAACTGCAATTTTGTGGGCTATATTTTCCCTCTTGGTAGCCCAAAGCCAATGTTTATAAAAACTTTTCAGCACGCTTATTTGATTTGAACTTTTTATTATTATTACAAATGTATATTATTTTATTAAAAAAATTCACACTGAAGCAAAGTCAATTCCATTTCATTACAACCAAGAATATAAAATAAATGCAATGAACTCATAGTTTAGTTTTAACAGTCATTTCAAGAGTGACATCAGGACAACTTAAAAGCAGTAAACTCTCAACTCTAGAATGAGAAACAAGTATTTTGCTTTGTGGTTTTGCTGGCCCATTGGCACGGGCAGTGCCGAATGTGGCCACCACAGATCCAGAGTGGCAGAGTTTTGTGGCAGCATGAGGCGCAGACACAGTAATTTCTAATGAAAACTACAAAAATGAAAAGATGCGTGCATGAAATTATTAGAAAAAATAATAACTGAATAGAGACAGGCACACTTCCACAAATAGTAAACATGGGAAAATACAACTAGAACAATTTGAAAACTTACTACCTTACATATATAAAAAGTTCTTTAAATTGCTGTTAAAAAGGACACGTTCTGTCCAGATTTTGTGTAATACTTTTTAGTGTCTACACAAGACAAATTTTTAAAAAAATTAAATAGTATTAATTTACTACTAAATATTTAGGAGATAACAGTGCATTAAGGACTTTTTTTTCATATAGTAATAGACATCGCTCCTGTCTGGCGACATTTTTAGAAGATTACGTATGGCCTTATGTACAATACATTTATTTAATCCTAAAACAATTCTTTGCTTAATGGTGTTAAAGTACCATTCCTGAAGATTATGAAGGGGAACTAAGCTTATTATGTTTATATAAAATATTATACATATTTGAACACTTCTAGCTTCCTGCCACCCCTCCCGCTACGAATGCTCTTCCCTCCCCAGATACAGTGTCACAGATACAGTGCAGGACTTGCAGCTTTCCCTATATTTTTCCTTCATTGTGCAGTTTGTGCTACATCAACTTCACCAACGTGGACCAGGCTGCTCATCCCATTCATTCCCCACGTGTTTGTTTCCTCTGAGCCACGATGGGAAAAGCTGTACTCAGTGACCTGCTCTCCCACCAGGCGTCCAGGATGGAGAAGACAGCTCTGCTGGTGTCACCTGCCTCTCGATACCAGTGTGAAACACTTTGGTGAGGGTGTAGTTATGGGCAGAGACAGAGCTATGAGTACTACTGAATCTGCACAGGCAAAAAAACAACACAAAAATGACATGGTCCTGGCTTCCCATGACACACTGCACGATTCACGTCTGAAAGCAGAGCATTTTTACCTGACGGGATGACCCCTGGAAAGCAAGGCTTCTTCCACTATGTCACCCACCCTAGCAACACACATCGAGCTCCCAAAAAAGGACGAATTATTTCACCACCAGGAAGGAAGTAGAAGACTGCGCAAAGCCTACATTTTGCAGCAAACGTGCTTGCTTTGACTCACTCTCCTCCTGGTTGTGAGTTAGAAGGCAGTGGAGGAAGTCAACCTGGCTTCACGTGTGCACACAAAAGCTAGAGAGGAGCAGCATGTGGCCATCTATCAGACCTAACCAAGGCAGAAAGGACAGTTCAGCTTAGAGAGAGGTCGTGGCAGTCACCCTAGAAGCTGGAAGCTCACTCAATTAAAGCACCTTACATTGCTGTGAAGTTTCACACTCTACATACAGATTAATCTACACCAAGATTTTGCCTATTGGCACAAGAGCCCACCTTACTTAACCGTACAGTAACACGTCTCCTCGTCACCTCCTAACATTATAGGAATTCTGATGATAAGCTGCAGGTCACAGTAGGGAGAAGAAATGTTAGATAAACAAACTATAATGGAAGAGACCAAAGGATTTTGAGAGAACACAAGGATGAAAAGGAGGGGACAAAAATTATTCTGCCAAAGGTTAATTTCCAGAAATGTGACATTCAAGTCACAAAAATATAAAATAAATGTTAGTTTATGGCATTGGCCAAATAGCCACCAGTTCAAAGGTACCTCATCCTAACATCAGTAAGAGGTGAGACATTCCAGTTATGGAAAGAATGTAAACCCAGACTCTTTGCAATAAAATAAATGAACATTTGAAATCTGTTCTTTCACGCAGGCTACTAGGGTACGTATAACATGTAGCATTTCAAGGAGTATCCATTGGGAGATTATTTTTCCCCAGAAATAATTTTTTCCTTGTAATTGCTTCATTTAATTTTCACCACCTTCTTACCCATTTGATGACAAAAGTAAATTTTAGTTGCTTTTCCAGAGAAGCTGGGCGTTGTCAAAACCACACGATGGTAGATATAGCCAAAGCAAGCCAGCTGTCCACAAAAAGGTATGAAAACAACATGTGTTTGAGGAGAAAGGGGGCACTAAAGATGACTGGGAGATCAAATCCAGTAGAAACACGCATGTGTCTAGCTGTGATGAAAAGTGTTCTCCTCAGAGCAAACAGATTTACTCCTCTTGCCAGGTGTGATCACAACTTCAGTGTGAATATGTACTGATATATACCATTTTTGTGTATCGACAGAGGACAGAAGAGAAGACACTGCAGTACAGAAGGCTGCAACATTAACTGTTTACATATGAACTCTTCTCATTTCACTTCTTCTCTGGACACCAGTTGTAGAAGTTTGCTGCTGCGACATTGCTAGTAGCTTTCTAAATGCATTTTCCAGTTTTCTGCAACAAGACACAGCCTTATTTCTGAAGGATGAAGGAAAAACCAAACTGTCCCAAATTACATGTTGTGCCTCTCTGAATAACTGTGGTTGCAGAAGTTGTACAATGATCCTCTGATTATGCCTCTGAACTCTCACTTATTTACTGGGGATTTTCTGCCAGCTACCCATCCACTTACAGTCCTTAGGCACAATCAAAACATGTTTGCTCTAGGGAAAAAGAAACATTTCAGTGCAATCAAGCGCATCTGGTGTAACTAATCTGGGTTAATCACAGCAATGTGAGGGGCGCAGAATATGCATTATAAACATGAAAAAGGAACAATTTTCAACATGCTTTTCAAACTGCACAATAATTTCTCTTAGTTATTAATTCTAAGATAAAAATGATTAAATGCATTTTTTCTCGCAAGTTCTTAGTATTTCTGTCACCTTAATGTTTAGAAAACTGACTCAGGAATGTGAAAGAAAGCTAAATTTATAAAACTCGCACATACATTAATCAGCTGCTCAACAGAAAAACAAGCCCGTCATCCACATTCCTACTGAGACTTGAGGGCAGTAAATACATTTTCCTGACTATTTTGGTGTCCAGCCTGGGAAGACATTCCATTCTTCTGTTCCAACAGATCCTGAAAGCATCTCCTTTTTATGTGACTGTCCTGGTCATTTCATTTCATCATCATTTCATTTCATCATTTCATTTAAAATAACGCTTAATTTAAAACTAGTCAGAGCATGATCACTGTGATTTCAAGAATTCAATGTGAATGAGTTAAGAAACATCAGCAATCTTCTGTTTGGCGTTCAGTCCAGTAGCATGAAGTATATTTGTCGCTGCAGAGACTTGGGTGGGTTTTTTTCTTTTTTCCTTTTCCTTTTTTTTTTTAATTCTATTTTATTTTTAATTTTTTTTTATTTTTAAGACCTCGCCTGAAAACTAGACTAATAAAAACAGAATAGTAAAATACTCTGGAACAGTAAAATTTTGCTGTTCTTGACATCCATGAGCAAAACAGTAATATCCTGTGAAAATAACATAGTGCTTTAAAAAGGTGCAATATACCTGTATAGCTAAACTGGTTTGCCTAGTATAAAACTAACTATATACAAGCTTGAAAGCCTGGGAGTTCAAGATTTTAAAACTTTAAAATCCCATCAAAGAGATTGAAAAGACAGATTTATGGCAATCACTACAGCATAAGGAAGGTGCACCAGGAATCCTTCAAAATTCCAAAGGTTAAAGAAGTTAAGTGCTGGGTTCAGATCAGAAGGGTTCATTAGAGTAACCACAATGGAGCACATGCAAGGGCAGGGAGGAAGGAAAACTTCACGAGAATCTCCTTTATGGCAATAAAGGGACGGGGGGTTTTGGGGAAGGAAAGTCTTCAGTGAGTGAAGTTTTCCTTTTGTCATGGTGAATTTTAATTCTGCATCATAGTTTGTATTTTTGGTTCTTCTCATCGTTATGAACTTCATATTGCTGGAGTCTTCTGGCTTTTAGTCCATTCCTTTCTGAGTGCAGTCTGTCAGCCCTCTCAGTACCTGTGAGACTGATGAGACTGGTGATACTGGGAGCTCTGCTGAGACGACGTGGAATAGCCCATTGTACTCTGGGACTGAGAAGATCCCTGAATGTTGCTTTGGTAACTCAGGCGCGAGCTGGAGTGCTGCAGGGAAAGAGAGTGGCATCAGGGGAGCGAAAACCAGTCTGTTAGGACTATGCAGCTCAGGAAACTTTTAACTTCTCTGCAGCTCATTAAAAATGACTGTTGGAGAAGGTGACTAAACAGTGTAACTGTTTAAGGGCCCATAAAACAAGTAATCAATCCGATCTGCTGTCATCCTTAACACAGCACACAAAATGCACAAGGTCACTGGCAGACACCTAGAATTACAGCACGTATACACCCATTTTTTGAAGGAAAAATACACAAGACACAAGAGAGAGCAGACGTCATTTCAAAGTTCAGCTTTTTCTTAAACTTATGTCTCTCATTATTGTAAGTGCTATTAATGCAAAAACAAACCGCTAAGCCATGAGCACTCTTTGAGAAAGGTAACACCAAATGTTACAGAGAAATTATTTACTCTGTTCCTGAGAAAAAGACAGCCATGGCCTAAGAGTTACTCAATTTACCTAAATGAAAACGTCCAATATGATAAAGTAATATAGTTTTAGGTGAGTCTTTCAACCTGCTGTCTTATCTACTGGAAGCAAAGACAATTGCTTAAAGACATGCAATAACCTAACGTTCATTTTCCCAAATGTTTGGGTTTTTTTTTTTTCCCCTCCACTGTTTGGGATGTTACTTCAGTCAACCCCAATCTCAGCAAGCCAATTTCATGGATTTGCTGAATTTTCCCTGTTATTACCATATCCATTGCCTGTCCAGAATTAATAGTGAGCTGCAAACGCATGCAAGCTGCAAAATCTGTAGCATGAAAAGTATTGCTCAATAAATAGGAGACTCTCTAGCAAGATAAAACCCACCCCACCCCACAAGACAGGAGTGTCTACAAAAAATCCCCAGACTATTTGCAGTCAGCAAACAGTTTGTTTCCAGCCAATTTAAGTTCAGGGTCAGTCAACCTTTCAATAGAGTTCTGGTCACTGTCTAGTGGATGGTTCTACCTGACTACGTGCAAGGGTCATCAAAAAGACTGTGGTCAACAGCAATCATATAGGAAAAGCATTAAGAACCCACATTCTGATTAAATATCAGGATTATGAGTTACAGAAAGCCTCCGCAGAAGTTTGAATTCCGAATGGAAATCCCACAGAGACAGTGGGTCTGTAAGAACACAACATCCTCCACAACCCAAGCGTCTGTTCAGTGAGCAATACCCGGATCAGTGCTCTCATCTAACATTCAGATCCCAACCAGGAGAGCTTCCTGACAACTTCTCAGATGGATTATGAACAGCAGGAACCTACAGTTCAGGCACTGTAAAACATTTCTCCCCTTTGTTCCTGTACATAGCTATATACAAAGCTTTATTTTTACATAAATTGTAAAAAATACTAAACCCTAAAAATATCACATTGTTTTTTCTGTGTTACATCTAACGTAGGAATATGAAAGGTGCTTTCAAGGCGAAGCACTGTGAGTGTTGAGATAACAGTCCAATCTTGCAGACCTCTGCGTCGCAATATAATATCAATATAACTAATAGTTGTACGGAGTAACTTCACTTGTTTGTAAAGGTCAGTTTGGGAGATAACAGCACATTGGCTTTGGAAGAGATGTCTCCCAGCACAACATATGCCATTAATAACCCGGGGATTCTTGGTCTGCATGGTTAGACTGTTAACAGGGTGTCTGAAATCTGGAATTTGTCACAAAATTCTGAACGTTTTTGCAACTTCTAACAGAAAAGAAAAAGAATTGTGATAATTGCTATGACTTTATAGGAACTCGCTCTGGATGAAAAGCATCAGTTTACCGTGCCAAGCAAAAAACTCAGAGTCACATAAGGAATGCTCAATAAAATTCAACAAGGAATTTGCACTGTCATTTGTGGAAGCAATATGTATTGGCGTTAGTGAACTACAAAAAAAAATTCAACACAGATGTTAGATCCCATGCAAAATGAAAGTCAAAGCAAAGGGAATCATCTTCCTACTTCTAAATAAGATATAATGGGGTAAAATTAATGCCATAAGACTACAAGAATGCATTAACTTGCCCATGCTTATTTTTGTTCCACAGAATAGAATTTGTTTTTAACGAAGTCAGACTTGGACAAATTGCAGACATTCCTTTCTGGAACAGAAGACAGTCAGCTAGAATTTAAGGGCAGATAGCCAAACATGAGTGTAAAAATGGATAATCAGACCATACAACTTAGCAAGTGACGTAAAGGAAACATACAGATCTTCATTCTGATGCCTGTGCTGTTAAAGTTTAGAAGGAAGGAGTCATACGGGAGTAAAAAAAAAATAAATCTATCTGAAAAAAATAAGATTTAGACTGCTAGCAACTTGTAAGGGGGAAGTTTGCCAACAATTCAGAGAGCTGTATAAGGATTCTATAATGGATATCATCGAATGCACAAAACCAGTCCTCAAACTACAGACCAAAACAGGCCAGCCATAAATACTGTGTAGTCAGACAGCTGTAGTGATTTGTCCAGACCTCAACCCTGTCTGGAACTTTTCAAAAAAGAAATCTCGTTGTCTTTACCCTTAAATTGCCCTCAATGCCTTCATGATCATTTCTAATTAAAAGAGTAAAACAGAAATGGGAGAAAAAATCTCTGGCACTGAGAAATCAATTGTCTGTGGAGAAGGTCTGGGGGGCTAAGACAAGGCAACTCCAGAGCTGGGTTTTTCAAAAGCTTCTTATTTTAAGTTTAAAGCAACTTGAAAGACCATTCTCCAAGGTGGGATCCTCTCGAAGCCTAGCAGCTGACAGAATTCCCAACATCTTTTAAAATCTACTTTTAATATCTACCTTTCTCTTGTTCTGCTTTCAACTCATTACTGTCCCAGCAAGTAAAAACTGACAAGTATTGAGATCCTGCTAAGTTCAATGCTTTCTATATTTAGTCTAAGTCACTTTTTCAGTAGAAAGCAAGCAAAGACCAAAATATCCAAAAATAATTCAGTGATACTGCTTTTCTTATGAATGTTACTGTACTAGAAAACGTGAAATCTATTCAACTTTGGTCACATTAGAAACAATGCGTGTCTGTGCCCTACTTCAGCATGAATCATACTGATGAACCAAAACATCATTCCTGTGCTAACATGCATTTTTTTTTCTTTAACATTATAAGCAGACTTAGCAAGATACTAGAATAAACTACAGAACCTCTCCATACACGTGATGATATGAGGTAGAACGAAGCAGGAATCAAATGAGAGCATCTAGTTCTCACTGTGCTACTCAGGATCTGCTTCTCACATGGGATTGAATATTGCCAAGAGCTGAATATCCTGAACTTGATCTAACACAGCATTTACGTGTATGAAATAGTTCCACTGGCTTCAGTAAGATTACTCTCAAACATAAAGTTAAGCAGATATTTAAGTGCTTTCCTGGAGTGGACTAGTCCTCAACACTTTACAGAGTGCAGCAGATACGACTCATACTGGTATTGTGTTGAAAATGACTAGCCACAGAATAAAACATTTTTACATTAAACTTTTAAACCCACATTTTTATCTAATGTATCAGAGCACGCCAGCTCAGGTTACATGAGAAATGCATTAAAACATGATTTGTTCTTGCAGTGGGGAAGGGGGAAGACGACATTTTGGCCCTACGGTATCCAAAGCAGCAAAAATTCAAGAGGTACCTGATAATCTGAAGGCATGACAGGCCCGCCTGAGTTAGCGCCTGAAGGCCCTATGCGTGGTTTCTTGTTGGGAGGCACCTGGTTGAGGCTGGAGTCCTGGCTGTGCTGGAGCCCTGCGCCCGCTCCCCCTCCTGCGGCGCCGGCGCCCCCGGCCGTCCCGTTGGTCTGGGTGCTGTTCTGCTGCTGCGCCTGTGGCTGCTGCGGCGCCGCCTGCGGCTGCTGCTGAGGTGCTGTTTGCTGCTGATGTTGGTTCTGCTGCTGCTGATTCTGGGGGAAGGAGCGACAACGACAATAATAACAACAACAGCGTGGTCATCGCTTGCCCCGAGCGGGTTTGTGAGCTCTACGGAATCTCCGACCCCGAGGAGGTGGGACCATCGGCCTGCTCCATGGGAAGACACAGCAAGGCTGTACATCCAGAGAAATGTGTCCTCCTCCTCTGTGCATCCAGAGAAATGTGTATCCCATTTGCAGTTCACTTCTTTTTATTTATATTTTATTTGCGGTGGTTTGTTTTTTTTAGCAAAGCAAGCTAGACTAAAACCGAACAGCCTAGTGACTCCCACAGCTAGCCAAGCGCTCCGAGAGGAGGATGGAAGGAACCATTTATAAACCAGTAATGGCCTAATGAACTGAATTCAAAACCCCCCGAAATTTCACTAGTGCTCAGTGGCAGATGTGAACCACACTAAATTATTCCAAGTGCTTCAACAGCCTCGTTCACTCAGAATCAAAACCACTTTTCAAACTCTCACAAGTGACATGTTACAATAACCCAAAGGAGGCTGGTGGTGTTACTGCCAGCAAGGTAAGCAAATGGGGACCAGAAAAAGGATCTAATTTCTTCTGTGGCAGAACCAAAAATGGGTTTCACTACCGTTTTGCTCTCCAATGCTTTTAAGTACCTCGTAAAGAGTGGAAGGCTGGGAATACATAGTGTGCTACATATAGGCTCAGAAAAATCTTACTGAAATAGCACAAAAGTGAAAATTGACCAGAGACAAACAGTTGAAGAGAAAAGAGGGGGAAACAACCAAGGGAAGGGAACCTGGCAAGGGAAAGAGAGGAATAGCAAAGGAAGAGAAGGCAAGCAATTAAGATGACAACAGGACCTGGCAGGAAAAGAGACAAAGATAAAGGAGCCAAAAAAGGGAGAAAAAAGGTAAGATGGGGAACTTGAGTGAAAAAGAGATTGTACTCTTCTGGCCTCAGAGGGCTACAGACTATAAAGAGTATAAGGAACTGGAGGGAAAGTTAGAAAACCAGCAGAGTACAACCTCTGTGGTTAGACAGTTCCAAGGAAAGACCAGTTGTCTGCTTTCAAGCACCAGGGATGTCTCCTCCATCAGAGCAATGAAGCACGCAAGAGAATTGCAAAGAAACGCAATTTCACTCCAAAATGGGAGATGTCACTTGTTCATCATGGAAAAATCCTACAATTGTCATGGCTTGAATTAAGAAGCTTTGCCACCTTCCCTCCAATATAATGTATGGGAGGTTTCAAAACAGTATTTTTTTCCTAGGATATCTGCTTCTGTAATTACCAAAGCTCTGGTTTGTCGGCCTTTTATAAAAAACTCGCATTATTAGTTTCTCAGAGATCATGACAACCAGTTGCCACTAGCAGAAAATTCTTGATGCCCCCTATCACCAAAAGGCATTTAGTCACCTCATTCTGACATAAAAATCTGTATCTATGCCATTCATCACAACAGTCTCCCCAGATACATTCAGATGAAATTTGCAGTGATATATTAATTTAAGATTACAAAGATGACTTGCGTCTTCAAGGACTTAAGAGGTGGATTGAATTTTCATTTCACATTTAGCAAAACCAATAATGTATCCTCCTGCTTGTAGTGCTCAAATCCCATTTCAGTCAGATTCGGTTTCCCAGGAGATTAAACTTTTATAATTTTAAAAGTTAACCAAGCTAGCATGTAAAAAAAACCCAACAAACCTGTTAAGAAGCAGTTTACCTTTTAATAATGGTTTGAGCTTCTCTTAAACAAACAAGTACCAATAACAAAGGCAGTATTTGTCCTAGTATTCTGAAATTTGTGTTTTCATAGGGGTGTTTGGATGCAAGTGAGGTGGTTGCTACTGTGAGAGCAAAAAAACTGCAATTTTGGTACATGTTAATAATTATAGCAGGGACTCTCACAGAAACAGTTTGTTGTAGGTCCCATGTTTCACGCTTTGGATAGCAGAACAAATTTTACCCGGCTAGTCTGTGCTCGCTCTCCTGTGCAGCTACTACTGCTACTGCCTGGGGAGAGACCGAGATCTCCTCTGTCAGACTCCGGCCAGGGTCTCGCTGCGCCCACCTTAGTGCACAAAAACAGCTTATGCCAGCAAAAACATCATCCTCGGGTCAGTCTACTTCATGGTGGTTCTGAAATGAATAAACTTATAAAAAGTCTGAAGCTGGCAACATATTACTATCTGTCACTTCTCAGGCACAAATTACAAAAATGAAATTCAGGTCCTGCCTAGAAACAAACCGAGCAGAAACTTGCCTAACGGAATTTGAATGGGAAAAGAATTTTTTCACTTTGTTTTACGAACACTCATTTTAGCTTTGCTGACAACTAACCATTTTGAAGAACAGATGCTTATGTTAAAGGTTATTTGGTTCAGATGCAAGTTCCAAATAAACAAACACAAAGAACTTGTCCTGGTTTCCAAAAAACTCTACAGGTATTTATGGTTTTAAAAACAAACCAGAAACTAACACTATTATTATAAAAACACAAAAACAAAACAATCCTTTCACTTGTAACAACATTATAAAGAAACAAAACATGGCACAGATTCAACTTTCAGAGTATCCTTCACCTTCATATTTTCTACACTGTGAGAATACATTCAATGGGTAATGCGTGACTTAAATTACCTAAATGGTCTCAAAAAAGTTTAATTTGAGTAAATACGTGACTGCCGCCAACAATCTCAAAGATCATTTATATAATGGCTGTTTTGAATATAAATATGCCATTGTTTTCGCCCCCAACACTCCCAGGAAAAGATATTTACTCTTAAATACACTGACCTAACAAAAGCCATAATAATTTTAAATCATAAGGTTTGTTCTTGTTTTTGAAGCTGTGAGAGCTGAAGCAAAGCTAGTAACTACGTTACAATCAAGTTAGTATAATGAGGTTCTTTGTGTTTTTACTTAGGTATCTGTTTCCTCTTCTTGAAAAAATTATCCGGACACAAAAATCCAGGATGTTACCACTTGCTCTCAGTCCAGAAGAATCTACGATATGTGTTCCAAAACCAAAATTCACTCTCTGAAATATATTGTGATAGGCATACTTATAAATTCAGCTCGTTTCTCATGTCACACAAAAAATCTGAAAACAGAAGATGCATGATGTCAAATAGCTTCTCCAAAAGATTAACAGTCCTTCTCATGTAGTTCTTTGATAATTACAGTTTAAGGCTGTTTTCTTCATATTTTCCTAGCTATACATTACTGTTGGTGTGCACTTTTAAGGGAAAATAACAAGCTGTTTCATACACTATAGCAGTATTATCCAGCCTTCACAACATGATGGGACAATCACTGCAGTCACGTAGCACAGCTGAGATATACGCACAAAGAAGGTCAGATTATGTTGCAAACACCAAAATTTACTATGCACACAAACAAGTTCTTGCCCATGTCTATGGGAAACAGAGTATTAAGAGCAGATTGTTGCTACCAGAACAGTTCACGGTCCTTATTACTCCTTTGTCTGAGGGCCTTTAAAACACGATCAGGAAACTGTGTGCAGATGGATGAAATGTTCTGATGTAGTGCCAGAAGCAGGCTGCCACTATTTATTTGAGACCCTGACAGCCATCTATTTCCAAATGGCTGGATGTATGCCAGTCATACAATGGGAATGCCATTCTTTTCATGTGATCACAATGTATTTTCATCATGCGATGCAGGAGGAGGCAGCAAGGTCCTCCTGGAATGATGGCAGCTGAAAACAGGCTACTGCTGTTGGAATAACCCATCCAGCTCATTCCCCACAGCTCAGGGCAAACCATGCTGGTGTTACCACCTGAGACCCCCGCTAAAGTCATCTGGTACTTTTAATTTGTCTGTAAAGCAGTTTTAAGAGAGACTTGCCTGGAAAACACATGTTTGGTTAACTATTCACATTGAATTAGTTATCATTTGCTAGTACTATGACTCTTTCTTATCACATACTTAAAATAAAATAAATAATAATAATAAAGAGTTTATTATACCTTATCCCCTTTCTCTTCAGGTTCATCTTCATTGAGGAATTCTCTTTTAGGATATGGAATCTGACAGCCAGCAAATACACTGAAACACATTAAACACCCCACAAATATGTACATACGACATACATTCACTTAATGCTATATTAAAAACAAGTGAATATAACACAATTTAATTTCTTGTCTTTCATGAGTCCTGTTTCCATAAGTGAGTGGCACCGTGAGCATCCAAGAGAGCAGCAGATACCAGGAGCTAGGTGCTGATCACATCTCTCTGCTGCTGGCATGAGGCCACCATTTAGAAATCACAGCATGGTGGAGCATGCCTGAATGCCAGAAACCACTTGTTGATCCAGGTGGCAAAATGAACAAATACAGTGTCAGAGGTTCCACAACACCTAGTTGGAACACGCACGGCTCACTGAATATAGGGCCTGATCCAAAAAGTATTAATGTCTTATGAGCCTGTCTTGGCTTACAGCAGGCTTATAGGTATTTGTCAATCACAACTGCAGAGCTACTTTCAATTAGCTTCTCAGGTCTTGTTTAGACAATAAAAGAAAGCTTTTAAATTCATCTAGCTAATGGGATTTGGAACACTCCTTAATGTTTATGGCAGAGACTTTATCATAATGTTATCCTGTAATCCATAGGGAGCTATAGCTCTCACAGGATAGTAGTATCAGATAAACACTAAATAGAAAATTACTGGTAGATCTTGACCAGTAACAATTTTTCAGATTTCTGTGGCAGCATTCAGAATACAATCAATTACAATTAAATTACAATTACAATACAATTAAAGTGTGTAACCAGGTCCTAATTCTAGCTGCTATGGAGTTTTTGGCTTATCCAAACAGAAAAACAAAAAGAAAAAAATAAAATCCCAGCTAGTCTCAACTAGACTCCTTTTGCAGTCCTATGGCTGTTCCCTTCTTCCAGTGTTGCCTGCTAGCTGAGGAAGCAGTGAAAGCAAAGGTGGAAGTCTCCCTGCAGCCAGCTCCTAGGGATCATAACACTACAAACCACCAGGGTTACAAAAACCGGGAAGAGAAACTGGAAGAGGAAAGTCTGCCAGCAGGAATTGATTATATCGATTGAATTTTTCACGACAATAAAATATATAAAGATATAAAATCTGTACTCTCAAGCCTTCTGAACAAGGGACCTGTAGGATTTTAAGCATTGATCTCTTCACTTTTCTCTCCTCATGCAGTTACCCTGGGCAAGAGGTCATTGGAAGTTGTCCGTAGCTCAGACAACTGTCCTAGGGAGAGGCACAATGAAACCAGGCAATGGAGAAGAGGGCTCTGTGAGTCTGCGTAAGGCAGAACAAGGTACAGATTAATTCCCCAAATACTGCAATAATATTGTCACACTGTATTTGGTAGTACATTCAGAATTCCAACACCAGCACAGTAGTGAGTTATTATTGCCCGTGACCCCTCAGTTCTGGCACCAGTAGATAACAGATACTTCAGTACTACGCTGCCAGTTTCTACCAAGCATGCCTGAACTACTACTACTTGTGGATGTAGGCAGATATCTGTGAATTTTTCAGCTGTCAGCTCATTTCAGGGATTAGCATTTACAGAAAGAAAACACCTCTGAAGAGCACAGACGAGGGAATACATACTCTGATGTAGGCAGAGGATCCTCTTGAAAGTAGGGGTCCTGCAAAGCCTGCTCTGAGGTAATTCTCTTTGTAGGGTCCATAGTAAGAAGCTTCTGAAGCTGCAAGGCATAACATTAAAAATAGCAAAAAGCTTATCAAACTATAAATTTTCAAACTATGACTTTTATGTCTTGGATTGTGGATTGTTAAATTGTTTGTGGCTTGTCCAGACAAGCCTAAGTTAGCATGGCTTGTTCAGTAAAGTTCCCAAGAACTAGAATGCATATCCATCAAAGCACTACAGCTGTGAAGCACTTCTCACATAGTTAAACCTATCAGGCAATATTATTTGCTGAAGTTGAACCACTGTGCTACAGCAACACAAAATTCAGCTATTACAGGTTCATAAAGCATCATTTCTAAATAATGGTGTTTTGTTGTGACACAAATATAGCTTTTATACTGTTCTGTACTGTTGAAACAACTGGAAAAAAAGTGTCAGAAGAGATTGAACGTGACCAGGACTCATCATATCGCTTTAGGGACAGAAACAATAAATCTTCATCTCTCGCAAGGGCAACATTCCACAGTCAGAGCACTCTGTCACTCACGCAGATCCCAATCCCACGCTAATTGGTATTGAAATGAGAAAGAGGAGGAGCAGACCTTTCCTAGTAACCTTTCTTCCTTGCTAGGAAGAAAGCAATAATAAATTAGCTAGAATGCTGTTGACTGCAGCAGGCCATAAAAGAGGATTATAATATATTAGTAGTATAAAACAGGAATTATAGGGATAGCATACCATTTCTAGTTATTTATTTACCACATTCTGAAAAAGTCACAGTAGGAAATTTGGATGCTCAAATTACATCATACAGTATCCTGCTCTCACAAAGTACTCTCTTAATTCAAGTCAACAGTAAAAATAAAATACCTTCTGCAAATGGCATCCTAGATCAAACTATCTTCCCAGCTTCCAACAAAAATTCTCTGGATATTCAGCAAAAGAATGCCATTTTGGCATGAGTATTTGGGGCTTTTTGTTCCAATAAATCAAAGGTCTGACACACAATTCTATAGTCCATATATGTAGTACAGTAAACAGCCTCACTAAAAGTACTCATCCTCATCAAGAAAGAGAATTCTCTGTATTTCCTCAGTAGTTGTAGTTAATCCTGTTCTCTAGATGAGGTCTTATCAAATTCTCTGTACTTCTACCACTTCCTCCCCACCTCTCCTTATTGCCATACTTTATGCCCCATGGACCCCAAAAGACTGACAACACAAGGAAGAGCCATTTGGCCTGTCTCTCCACCCATCACTTCACTTGGAAACAAAAATATACCTCAACATGGCACACTTATTTACTGTGTTTTGTGTTGTCAGATAACCCTTAAACCTGTTTCCTGTGTACCTTAACTAATTTAACCTCTAATGTGCTGTTGGCTCCCTACACAGTGATTTCACATGATACAATGAATACAGACAACAGCTTTGGTAGTCAGTATCTTTATTTCAAATCACCATCTCTCCCTACATGTAAAATTTTTGTTTTAATGGCTTGTGACACCATTGCAGGTGATGAAAATTTCTTCGCACCTGTTCCTCCCCAGCGACCGCAGGGACAGACGCTTATGTTCTGCATAAGGTGACTCCGGGCCTTTGGTACCAGATGTGGTCATTGACAGATGTGTTTAGAACATCAGCCTCTGGCCCCTAGACCTCTTTCTCAGAACTGGCTGCTGCAGTACTACTCAAGAGAAAGCTCCTCTGGTTTTCTGCCATATAATAGTCTCATTACAAGCTGCCTCCAAACATGACCTGTATTCTTTGTTATTCAAAGATAAAGTTATTGTACCACAGCAGAAGATATAAAGATACCTCAGACCTTTTCATGATCTGCTCATTCCCTTAGTAATCCCTCCCACCCCAGGGAACATAATCATTTTGCCCATTCCAGGTGATAACACACGGAACATCACTCGAAGTGAGATATCCTGCCTAGCAGTGATGCTACTGTGAATTAACTTTCTTTGACAAAATCTGGTTTTCTGTAGCTTCTGATGCTCCTAGGAAAGTGAATAAAACATGCCTGGAAACAATTTGTTTTCAGGGCAGCAGCTGCTAACACAATACAGAAAGCCTGTGAGACTGGACTTCATCAACAGTCTCATACTTCTCAGCAGCTCTCAAGATTGCCCACTGTCAGGCTCTACTGTCTACAGGACAGCTATAAATACTTTGCTTGTGACTTTTCCAGGACAGCAAGAACAGATGCCTCTTCCTGGATGGAAAACATTCTGCCCTTCACGTAGATATTAACATTCAAAGTCAATCAGGAGGGTGGGACAATATCCTCCTCTTTGTCAAGAGTCATTTGCTATCCCGCACTGGTCTACTTGATGCCGTACTTTCTCCATGCCCCACACTTGCTATACTCATTAGCACAAAGTCTTGATCAGTGAAGGTTACAAAGTAGATGTATTCAGAGGTTACCTTGCAAGATTGAGGTTACCTCAAAAAACTATCGTAACTACTTGGGAAAGGAACAAGGAGTTTTAGGCAGCCTGGCTCAGAACACACGGACCTCCAAGCTCATTAGCAGACACATTTCTAATCTCTTCATTTGGGAGAGTACATCTTTCCTTTAAAATCTGCCAGTTTTTATGATCTTTGACAAGACAAGTCAGATACTTTGCTGTAGGTCTCTGCTAGAGCACGGCTGTGGCAATTTATGTATATGGACCTCCTCTGTGCAGCAATGAGGCATCAAGAATCATAGAATCATTTAGGTTGGAAGAGACCTTTAAGAGCATCAAGTACAACCACAAACCTAGCACTGCCAAGTCACCATTAAACCATGTCCCTCGGCACCACATCTACAGGTCCTTTAAATACCTCCAGGGATGGTCACTCAAAACTACCTCCCTGGGCAGCCTGTTCCAATACCTGATAACCATTTCAGTGAAGAAATTTTTCCTAATATCCTCCCCTGGTACAATTTGAGACCATTTCCTCTTGTCCCATCAGTTGTTACTTGGGAAAAGAGACCAACTCCCACCTCACTACACCCTCCTTTCAGGTAGCTGTAGAGCACGATAAGGTCTCCCCTCAGCCTCCTTTTCTCCAGGCTGCACAACCCCAGCTCCCTCAGCAGCTCCTCTTATGACTTATGCTCAAGACCCTTCTCCAGCTTTGTTGCCTTTCTCTGAACACACTCCAGAATCTCAATGTCTTCCTTGTAGTGAGGGGCCCAAAACTGGGCACAGTATTTGAGATGGGGCCTCACAGGTGCGGAGTACAGGGGGACGATCACTTCCCCAGTCCTGCTGGCCATGCTATTTCTGATACATGCCAGGATGCTATTGGCCACCTTGGCCACTTGGGCACACTGCTGACTCATGTTCAGCCGGCTTTTGACCAACACCCCCAGGACCTTTTCTTCCAGGCAGCTAAGAAGGTTGTCCATGTTCCTGCGCATTCTTATGCGGAGCTCTGGGAGACTGACCTATTTGAGACCAGTCTCCATCTCTGTGGCTGATCACTAAACCACCCATATTCATCCCAGATGATGAACAGATGAAGAGACTCTACCTTGCTAAGTGGACTGTGTTCTTCACAATGTTCAGAAAGAGCCCTTAGACTTTTGGAAATCTCTGTTCTCATTCTCACAATTATATAGGGAAAAAAAAATAGGTAGACACCTATCTATTTCCTCAGTCACCCTGTAATAACCTTGTCTCGCTACTTCTTCATCATGAAAAGTTCCTTTGTGTGTATATATAACATATAAATATACACATATTGTGCCACTCTATAGCTAGTTGTGTGCTCTTTAGAGATCTGATTAATATTTCCCCCTGGAAAAGTACCCTACAAACACAAGGTGACTCTCCGCTTAGTTTTCATAGCCTTGATAAATTATCCATATAAGCTGACAGCAACCCATTTGCTTCCTTGCCTTTCCACCAGATTTTCTGGTGGCTTCCATCTTTAGTAAGAAAACAGGGGAAAATTCAGGTACTAACTAACAATATCTCTTACAATTGCCATCTTTTCACTTAGACTCCTCCTCCAGCTTGTTCCAATGTGTGCCCAGTACGTTAAGAAATTTCAATTATTTTTTTCTTGAAATCTCATACTTCTTATGTGAATGCTTCCCTTCCACCCGCTAGGGACCAACCTATTCTGTTTGTACAGTTATTTGTGTCATCATCCAGCAGTTACTAAGAAGCCAAAGAGCAAATCTTTGCCAGGACCAAGAGAGAAGACTGCTAGGCTGATTCCACAAGCAGTGATGAAAACAGATCACTAGAACTCTGCTGCACTAACAGCCTCATTACAGAGACTCCCTGTTCACAGCACTAACAAAGTCACTTTGAACTTCATTCCTAAATTTAGACAGCACTAAGTCATCACAGAGGCATCCAGAAATGATGCTGTATTAGACAGAGCAACCCTGTAGTCACCTACAATGAATGACTCAATGAGGTAACCAGCAAATACACGTTTAGGGATATTGTTTGGAATGACCCACAGAACAGAGACGGACTATCATCAGAGGGAAGAAAAAGAAATGGGGGAAAGAATATTACTACAGGTAACAATTAAATTTCTCCTTTCCTCTCCCCTTTCTTCAAAAACGCTTTAACTCTTGGGAGTTCTTTAGCTCTCTGAAACAACATGGAAACAAGAGATATATCATACTCACTATACTATTCACACAGAAGACCTAAGGGTAAGGCTGGGTATACGACTGCCTTGCAGATCTTAATTAGATAAGACGTTCAGATCTTCAATACCAGCAGTTTAAGCACATGCTCAGCATGCATGTATATGAATAAAACACATCTCAAAAATGGCTAGTCAGTGACAGATAGCTTTCTTTAATATCAGTGTTTAGTAAAATAAAGTAGAAGAACAGACACGGGTGTTACCATTACAAAAGCTTTTCATTCATATCATCACAGTGATTTTCAGGTTGTACCTACCAAAAGAAAAACTTTGCTGTCAGGCTTGACTTTGTGTTTCTCCATGTATTTTATGAGGCTACTATTGGCATATCTGGAAAATACAGTTAAACAAAGACATTTCTGAAATTATACAGCATCAAGAATACGGAACTGCACCAAGTAATCATAAAAACACTTACCAGCCCTTAATAAGTAAGCTATAAAAAGAACCGCTATCAGAAAACTTGTCAAGTATTTATCTAGCAGTTGACACTCTACGCATGCTTTTCACTAGTAGGAGTAGTATCAGCTGTGTACAGATTATTTCCACAGAGCACGCAACTTTCATAGTGTATGGACAAGCTGTTGACATTGGTATATGACAGAGAAACTAATCTTGAAGTTTATACTCTGGTTTTCTAAAACAACTCTGCCACAGAAAGTGTAGAGCAGTTCATAACAGCACAACAGCTAAGCTATTTAAGTTGTTTCCAGTTGCAATTTGGCAGAGCAGTTAGTTTACCATTCTGTCCCTCCATAAGGACTGCAAACCATACAGTCCTTATAATGCCTCAAATAAGTATAACCTGTGCTTTGCCTTTAATCTACAAATCCAGAGGTTATCTACAGCTGTTTTCAAAAGAAAGAAGCTTCATGCACAGATAAGCTTCATATCTTACCTAAAGCCAGCGTAATGAATCCACGTCAGAGCTGGAAACAGAATCCAAAACTCCTGAATCCATGTCCTCTGCCTTACAGCAGAGTCTGTGTTGCTCCTTACATTCTCTGATCTATCACCACCACTTGATTAATTTAGCCAAAGCACCAGGAAACACTAAAAGAGGAAAATTCTTAGATCCCTGATAGGCTTTGCACCACGATCTATTGACCGTGTTACCTTCCATAGAAATTTCTGTCTGCTACTTTACTGTCTCCACATACTTGCTGGTCAAAATAACCAGGGAGGTGCTTCCCTACTCCTCCTCACACCAAAAGAATGACGTTACCTTGAACAGCTAACACAAGTGGTTTAAGCAAGCTAATTTTTCTGTGCCTCCCATAGAATAAACAGCGCTAATGACAACCCAACCCTTTCTAAAGAAATGAGGAGGCCACTCAGCTGACGCATTTAAAAACAGCTGAGGGAGAGAACACCGTTCAAGCAAAACAGCTAATTCAAATAGGAGAGCTGTCACAGCATTAGTACTCAAATACTCCAAAATGCCCTCCCAAAAAAGTCAGAGGATAGAAGCCAATTTCTGCCTATCTGCTACATTCACTCAAGTGTTGTTGCGTTGTCAGCACTTACGTTGTTCTCCTAAAATCTTTCTGAAGAGTTGGATATTCTGGCATCTTCCTTATGTCTTCCCAATCTTTATCTTTGGTGGGAGGGAAAAAAGGAGAAGCATTTACAATTCTGAAAGTGTAGGTTAAGTAACACACAAGAAGAAATAACTACAGCAGTTGTTTGATTTTCTGTTTGTCGGCCACTGCTATTGTTCCACAGTTGTCAGCATTTCCAAATCTATCAAACTAACAGCTTCTTCATACCTATACAAACAACTAGTCATTTCCTTTAGGAAAAAAAAAAAAAAAAATCAACTCAGTAGCATTACATCTGACGCTTTAATGAAAATAAATTACCTGCAGGGAATCCCATTACACTGAAAATGCGGTCTAGCTGATCATGATGAAAAGGATTACTTGTTTTGATGTCCTCCTGACGACAGTGAAATATAGGTTCCGAAGTCAATAGCTCAGCAAATATGCAGCCAATTGCCCAAATATCTAAGAAAGAAGGAGGATAATTCATGCAAATTTACTGTACTTCATTACTCTGTTTTTTGTTTCTGCACAATTTCTCAACAACCTGTATAACCATAGCAATATAAAATACCTCACAGTATAATTACTTAAAGTACTTTAGAAATAATGCATTAATATAATACATAAAAAGGGGGAAATCTTGAGATTTTTTTTCAATCAAAATTAGAGTCTCCAAATTCTGTTTCAAGTTGTACAGCAGCAGCAGTCCAGCACTTAAAATATTCACAATTATGGCAGAAACGTACACAGTATTTGCTGATGACATAGCTTGAAGGGCATTCAACTAACCATTGAAACCAAACTACAAATCTCCCATAAAGATACACTGAAATAAAAGTTCTATTATTTAAAAACAATCCCAGATAATTGATAACCAAATAAATACTAAGAAGGAAAAGAGTAGTGATTCATATGTTTAGCCAAATAGTGCAAGCTAGTTAAAATGGAGAAATCAGATCCTAATTTTAGTCAAGAGTAGAAGAGTGATTACCAAACTTTTTTTTAAAAGTTAAAATCCTACTTGACAACTGACTCCCACTGGAACAATACCGGAACTACTTCTATATACAGAAAACCACAGCATGATATATTGATGTCTTAATGAAAAAAAAATAACAAGCTCTATTTTATAAATTTCCCACTAATATGCTTTTCAAAATTAACTATACTGTCGACAAGAACATCAGTTTTGTTTATAGTAGAAGAAATTTCTAGATTACATGTATTCGTTCTAGTTACTACTATCACCACCCATCTTAGTGTTCTGAATGCTTTATTATGCATCTTAATGTGAAAGTGTGAATTTTTCAGTGAGAAGAAGGTTACTAGCAGAAAAGAAATGGATTTGCTACACTGACAAATACGTGTCTGGGATGCAACTCTGGAAAAAGACATTAAGATCAGCTGAATAATAAGCATGGATTGCTGAATACAGGAGTGTGGAGACTTGCTTAGTAGCGGATGATTCTGGGAAACCTTTTGGATTTAATCAAAATCAATAGCATAAATACAGAAAACAATTCACTCCTCTCTTATAGGTCTAAAAGATTAAAAATCACCTAACTGGAGTTTGGTTTATTAGAGCCAGACTAAAGAGAACACCAAGATAAGCCTCTTGTTTGTTGCACCTAATCTGAGACTCAAAGCCCCACCTGCTGTCAATGGTGGTGTTTGGCCCATGCCACCTGCGAGACACGTGGCCTCCTGAAGCAAAAAGCACAGCTGTCTTTATGTAGGGAATGGAAAAAGAGCCACCACACTGTTTACTGAATCAGGTCAGTTCCATTTCCATCATGTTACAGGTGTGGAGCTTTGGGTGTCCCAGTTTACAAGCCTTTCTTCCTACCTCCTTTACAGGAAAGTCTGATGACATTTCATTCAGGCTTAACAGTTTCGACAGGGTACAACATCACTTTCTTGGGGTTTTTATCTTCCTTTGATTTTCTTATTAGCCTTATCTGCATGAAAACAAGATCTTTAGCTCTTGAGATTTTATCTGCTCAAGCAGCTAATGCAGCATATTAATCACAATTCCTGCCTGGGTAGTAGGCATAAATTATCTACTCCAGAATGGAAATTACTTGCTATTTGAAGAATAGCATCTTCATTAAAAAGTATCTATTCACTCATTTTCATGACAGATAGCAAATCCTTTTGGAGACAATTTATCTAGAGTGTAAAGGAGTTGCAGCGCTCTTGGTTTTCTTGGCTCTCTGCAGTGCTCAGTGTCCATCACAGAGTGAGGGAGAGACTGGGCCACTGCTCGCTATCCTATTCATTACTGCTCTGTCCAAACTGACCTTTTCCTTTTAAAGAAAAAAAAAAAATATATATATATATAAAAAATATAAATATATATATATAAAAATATATATATATATATAAATCTAGTATTCTTGTTGGCAGTAAAGCTGAACTGGGAAATCTCCCTGATGTGACACAGCAAACTTCAAAACTGTTTCTCCTTCATCAGCTGAACTGTGTGAGAGCAGGGCCACCATGACAGCACGTTCCCACTGCCTGACTGTGATTAATTCAGAGAGCACATTTTAAACCCTTTGAGAATTCAGAAAGACAGACATTATACCAACTGGAAGTTAATCCGAATAAACACTGGTAACTCCCAAGCTGGTGTTGCATTTTCTACGGGAAGGCATAACAGGACAAGTCAAGCATGAGATTAGTATAGCTCTGATCAGTCACTATAGTCTCCTATATGTCACTATGAACTATGTTCTGTGTTATATGAACTATGTTCTGTGTTATATGAACTATGTTCTATATGTCACTATGAACTATAGTTCATAGTGCTGGAGTTCAACCCTTTAGGTCTTTTGCCAGACACTCTTCAGCTTCAAAGAACTCATATAAAGTAACCCGAAACACTTAGTACAGAAAACCTGAAGCTTTAATTTCCGTAAGTGAAGATTAAACAGCTGGAAAAGGCCTTATAGCCATGCAGCTCAGCAGGTCAGGGTCTTCCCTTCATGAATCTAACATTTATGTAACTTGATCTCGAACACATCCTTGGCACATATTGAAACCATTCTCACAGTTAATGATTTTCTGCCAAGTTTGGCTAGTCCTTTTTTTTTTTAAAAAAAAAACACATCCATAATTTACAGTAATTATTTACCACATGTGGCATTTTTCTAGCAGGAACGCCTTGCTAAATTCTAAGTTTAACACCTTCATCAATACAGGCAGTCCTAATAGGTATTTATCTCCTACATTGTTTGTATTAGCCAATCAAATACAAACTTCAGCTCTAACTGTGAAAAAATGTGTCAATAATTAGCAATTTCGCTATCTAGTGCCATTTCATGTGTTTTCAGTTTGTGGTCCCTAAAAAAGATTGATCATTAATGCATCTATTCCAAATCTAGTCCAAATAAGAATTACCACCTGTCAGAAGTGGGCATTTATAGGGGCAAAGTTTAAAACATATAAGCAGTATTTTTTAAACTACAGTGCATTATTAATCTAGTGTACATCTGCCTCTAGCACAAGAGGAACTTACAATGCTGTATAACAATTTCATTATAAATAACATTTCTGTTTAAAAGCAACTGCCAAAAACAAGAGGCAAACTACAGACTATCCATTTAAACTTACATCCCAGAACCACTGACAACAGGGCTATATAGGTCCTACAAGGTTGCATTGGATACTAGATGTTTTCCCACCTGATGTCCTGGGAGGATCCTAATAAATATACCAGAGCAACACATATCATTCTGATACGGATGATTCTGTTTCCTACAGTTTCCTCTACTATCATTAGGTTTCAGGAATAAAAGGTGATAAAAGGTTTTTACTGTTTGTTTTGGGGTTGTTTTTTTTGTTTGGTTGGTTGTTTTGTTGTGGTTTTTTTCACTTTGCCCTCCAAGAGTTCCAGACTGCCCACTTTGCCAAAGTTTACACTGAACCCAAATACAAGCCAGTTTTGCTCCCTGGCTCTGGAAAAAGGGATGGGAGTGAAGGTCTTGGTAGCAATACTCCTTCCTCTAGACTCCTCAGCAAACAGTTTGCTCAGGTCCTGTTCAAACCTATTCACCAGTGAAATATCCTTGCACTGTAACAATATTTCTCAGGTACTACATAATAATTTTATAAAAGGAAAAAATAGCCTTTTAAAGATGGTCATTTGTGGCTGGTAAACAAACTTTTCATACATATGCCTGGGTGCACAGGTTGTTAGAATATTTGCACGGCTGTCCATGTCCCAGTTTTAAAACCTGTGACTCTAATAGCTTTATAGGTCAGCTACTAAAGCTGAGAAAATCCTGTGTGTCCCGCTCTACTTTAGTGCTTTAGCCAAGGAGCAAGTACAAAAAGATGCTGACATAGCTGTTTTAATGATAGGGCTGATTAAGCAGACAAATGCTCATGTATTCTTTCCTTTCTGTGGCACAATAACCTCATTTCTGTATTTGTTCCAATATTTTGGCAACATTCTTTAAGAATATTATGACAATTTAAGACAATAAGACAATTTATTGAGCAATAGCCTTGATTCTCAAAATGAAACATCTTTTCCCATGCATATTAACTACAACGCTTCATTGATGACAGGACACAGTCCAAGACAAAATACTTTATGCTTCTTAACTATAGCCAAGAAAAGAAATACACAAACAAGCTCTTAGCCTTCTATAATTCTGTTATAAAATTATGTTAAAGAAAGAAAGTTAAGAATGGGAAAACATCTGTTTAGCTGCAATCGATCTGTGGAATTCATTATTAGTGAATCTGGTCTAGCAGCTTCAACCAACCTGCTTTCTTTTTTTGTTTTGATTTGAGCACAAAGTCTAACTCCAAGACATGTCTGAATGCTGGTAAAGGAAGCAAACAGTGGATGGACACCGAAATACAGCTTCTCTATGTCTGCCAAGGGCTAATGCAACAGCCAGGTTAACTAAAAGCTAGTTGGCATGTCCTTAGCCTAAACAAGGCAATCCTACCTATAAAAAAAATACAATGTTTATATAAGATTCATCAAATCTGTCAAATCATATAATCATTTAGGTTGAAAAAGACCCTTAAATTATCAAGTGCAACCATAAACCTAGCACTGCCAAATCACCACTAAATCCTGTCCCTCAGCACCACATCTATATGTCTTTTAAATACCTCCAGGGATGGGGACTCAAACACCTCCCTGGGCAGCCTCTTCCAATGCCTGACAACCCTTTCCATGAAGAAATTTTTCCTAATACCCAATCTAAGCCTCCTCCAGTGCAAATTAAGGCAAGGACAAAAAAAATACACAAACATACTAAAAATTCAAAAGGTGGCTGCAGAAACATAAATGTTTTGGTTTTTTTTTCAAATAAATATCAGTCGGTCTAAATAAAAGGTATAATCTCTTTATAAGAAAATCTTGTGTCTCATGCTGGGTAGAGCAGCAGATTCTAAACTTATCTGGAATCTTCACACACAGTGACCTAGGAGCATAGAGA